GTGGGTAAAATGGTCAAAGCTCCTTGATCCATCGAACAAAGGAGGGGAATAGTCAATGGTTTATTGACGATGCTGACTATCGCTCTATGTTTACAAGGGAAAAAACATGTGATAGCATGACGAGGAAGCTGATTGATATGAAGTTGTGGAGGACCGTGATTTCTCCAATTTGAGAGTGAGAGTGGAGAGCAAAATGGCTTAAGAGTTTCCACGTGATATTTTTGAATAGAAACAACTCCAAACCGTCCATGACACATTACATTAACCTTGAATCAATTCTACATATACTACATCCGTCCATAAAAATACAATTATAGCACAGTGTCACGTTTTAGTACCTTAAGTTTAACCAATTATAGATAAAAAAAGTATCCATGTTTATGATACCAAATAAATATCATCTGATTAATTACGAAATATATTTTCATAATAAATTAATTTAAAGACATAATTATGAATATTATTCATAAAAAATTTGGTCAAATATGAATCACTTTTCGTGACACGCAACCCATAGTTGCATTCTTTTTAGGACAGAGGTAGTATACATCAAACAATTTTTGTTTGGTGGAGGGTGGGGTTGTGATTTGGGGATTATCTCTCTGTAATTACTACCCAAATCTTAGATGACAAAAAGAACCTTTGCTGATAAAGTTAATTAATATTTTCAGAGCACATGGATGCAGAACCGGCACGTTGTCTGGTCGGGTCGCCCATCAATCATACATGAAGCGAACAAGGCAAGTTTACGCCTGACAGCAACAATACGCATATGTAGGCCCTCTTTGGTTACTGCAGAGGCTCTAAAATTCCTGTCACATCGAATGTTTGACATATACTTGGCCATCGGGCCGGCCCGGTTTGGCACGGCCGGGCATCAAGGCATCGGATTCGGGTCGGCACGCAAGACGCTGCGCCTCCCACTTGGAATGTGCTGCCATCTATCAAGCACGGGCCCATGGGCCCTCTCCGGGGCCACTGCTAGGCAAAGGCCGTGCCACCGAGGCCCATAGGTTCAAAAAAAATCATCTCAACAAGAAGTATTCAAATTTGAAGAGCTTCAAACCAAAACCAAAATCATACACACAGAGAACAAGAGGAAATTAAAAGGATAATTGAGCTGTGTGCAATGCTGCCTCATTAAAAACCTTTCTGGGTAAAACTCACCCTTGTGAGAAACCCTAGAAAGGGAAAAAGAGTGTAGCACAGCTCTTATAAGTCTTAAACATGTTCAAATGTTTACATGATACATCATAGATTCACAGATACAGATCATAATCAAGTCTCAGGCTCTCAACTCACCTCTCAAGTCTCACACTCTCACTGTCTCAATCTCAACTCTCAACTCAAGAACCACCAGAAGCAGAAGCCACAAATGCAGATGTGCTAGTAGAAGGAGCCCCAGAAGTAGATGCATCTTCATCAAGATAGAGATGCTCGAAGGAGTCTACCAGTTTTTGGTTGTCAACATCATGCTACAGTCTTCTTTCACCTAGCTCCCAATCTTTTATGCAAGCAAGCATCTCCACATGTTCAGCAATAGTCGATGCAGCTCCTCAAGTATTCTTCCGTCAAGCTAAAAAACAATTCAAGACATTGTTGAAACGGGCCGACATAATGTCTCTAGCCATGATAGAAAGCATTGGATATGTTAGCTTATGGTCACGCCACGTGAGAAGGTGGGACATTGGGATAAGCAGATAGCTCAAGGAAAGAAGTAGATAAAGAAGGCGAGAGCAAGAGGGGGGAAGGTCCAACAACACCGGATGCTCTAGGGCCTCCAAAATTTTTTTCCCCATGAGATGGTGGTTGTGGGCACCAAACTTTTCTTTATACTTGTTAAACAACTTGCAGTTTTCACAATACCATAATAAGAACTGTAGTCAAAAAGTTTTTTGTTGCATTATGGTAAGAACATTAAATAAACCTCTCATTTTACCTCTAGGATCAAGAATGAATGCAAATGAATACAACAGAGGTATGTCCTTCCGAGATTTTAGGTATTTAAGCTTCATAGGATAGACAATAGAAAAGCAGATTTCGATCCTTTGAACTTTCATGCAAATGAGTTATAATATCTAGTAGATGGTGCGAGAATAAGTGGACTAGTTGGATAGTAAACACGTAAAGAGTGACTGTGGAGTCATAAAAATGGAATTCAAGTATTTTATGACAATATACCGTTGACTTATAACAACGTTGAGCCTAGTTGAATTTAAAAAACATCCTTATATGGAAAGCGGTGTTTAAGCATAAGATATGTACCATTCCATCTAACATCCATATCCAAACCAAACTTTCTAGGTCTAACACCCTTAGCAATGCAAAAGTTCTTGAACAAAGCAATCCTTTGATTAGATGAATTCAAAAAGTGGAGGTTTGAACCTTTTTTAAGATTTTCTATCGATTAATAATTGACAAGCACAACGTTGATGCACAAGATGATACTTAACCTTATTAGGAGAAGGTGTAGGTTCGAGTTCGTAACCCAGATAAATGACAAACATAGGTGTCAATGTTTCCATAGCCTTAGCATTGGAAGAAGCATTGTCAAGAGTAACAGAGAACACCTTATCAAGCAAACCAAATTCTTCAATCACACAAGCAACTTTTTTCTCGCAATATTCTCACCATTATGTTTTACCTCAATTAAGCGGAGATTTACCTTTTTTGCAATCAATTCTACATATACAACAACGATATAGTCTTCCTTTGCATTACTGCACCAAATGTCGATGTCGGACCATAGTAAGAAGCACCGGACAACACGTTCTTAATTATACTTTCATTAAAAAGTTTGCCAAAATCTCTAGTGGTATAGATAGAGACCTTAAGTAAACCTAGGATTATGAGTTTATATTCTTCCCAAGCATACCAAATAAAATATCAAGCTTAGCAATTAATTGAGATCTAGCAACTTTAGGTTTATAATTTATAAATGTAACCAAGATTGTATGAAAGCTTAATTGAACCTAGCACGTTGATCGGCTTAATCCTACATTATTTTTGGTGCCTTTTTTCAAGCAGATCTAAAGCAGACAAGGTAGATTTGCACATCTTACAAAACAACCTTGGTGCAAATATGAATCATAGATCTCCTCAAAATCAGCCCACACAAAGCGACGCTTACTATTGTTACTTGTACCAAGAATCGAAGGAGCAGAGCCGTTGGAGTTTGCAGTTCTTTTTCCCACATCGACGGACGGAGAGGTAGCCCCCAAGATACAACAACAATTTTTTTTTGGTGGAGGGCCATGGGGTTGTGATTTGGGGATTGCTCGCTCTCTGTAACGATACTACCGAGAAACATTGGAAGAAAGAAGAAATCAGAAGCAGATGAAAAGAAGAAATTAGAACCTTAGGGTTAGGCTGAGGAGCCGGTCTTGGGAGAAAGTTAATTAATATTTCAACAACGAGCACGGGAGGAGGGACAAACAGAGACAACCAACTCACATAATCAACGAGATCTAGAGGGGAGATAGGGAGAGGGAGAAGGGAGAGGCGGAGAGGGAAGGAGGGGATCGCCCATCAATCATACGATCACCAAGTCGGGAACGAAGACCGTGAGAAGGCGAGGAAATGAGCAAGGGTTTACGCCTGACAGCGCTTTATAATGAGGACGCGAGGTCATGTCGGGAGGACGGAGGCTTTGGCAAGAGCGAGAGCGAGGCGCAGAGAGAGACAAGAGCGAGGCGAGAGAGAGTTAGAAATGAGCTAGGGTTCGGGTGTGAGAGCTGCATGTTTGGCTGGCATCTTATATACGAGGAGTGGGAGAGGCGGGCCGGAGCTACTGGGCCGTGGGAAGGCAGGGGAGCGGGATGGGAGGAGGCCAGGGAGGGAGGGGAAGGGGGGTTGGCGGGCGCTGGGCCCGCTGTCTGTCTCAGTCGGGCCAGGCTTGGCCCACGGGCTCGAAAGCAAACTGTGCACGGCCGCTCCTCCGGGGCGGGCGCCCGGGCCAGATGTCTTCGAGCCGTGCCGTGCTCGTGTCGGGCTAAAAAAACGGGCTTCGTGCCGTGCCGTCATGCCTCGGGCTGCATGACCAAGTATAGTTTGACATATGCATGGAGTATTAAATATAGACTAATTACGAAACTAATTGCAGAACTTACGACTAATTTACGAGACGAATCTTTAAGTCTAATTAATCAATGATTTGACAATGTGGTGCTACAGTAAACATATGCTAATGATAGATTAATTAGGTTTAAAAAATCGTCTCGTAAATTAGCCTCCATCTATATAATTGATTTTATAATTAATCTATATTTAATACTCCTTATTAGTATCTAAACATTCGATGTGAGCTGAATTTTAGAGGGACCGAAGAACACTCCCGTAATATACCTCACGGGTCACGCCATAACGGCCAAGGCATGCCATTTGTTTATAAGACAATTCAGATGTTCAGGCTTGAGAGGCGTGCTCGTGAATGCAAGGCATGGGCCGTTTAATTTGCTGATGGGCTCAGATGATATCGCAGCCCATGTTTCATCCATTCAGAAATTACATTTTTTTTAGATAAGGATTCCGAAATTACATATTTGGCTAGTATAGAAAAATTGATTGAAGCCGCCAATATCAAATGCAGACTGATTACAACTTACAATTACATCATGTAAACAGCAACAAGATGTCCCATTGAAACTGAAATTAACTTGCTCAACTAATTTATTCAACCCAGGACTGGATGGAAGTACAATGCCCTCTGAAAGTCTGAATCGAGATCTGAAGCTACTGACAGTAGCACGCTTTCTGATCGTGCTTTTGAGGGCAATGTATAGTAGTTAAAATAGACAAAAATAGACGAGAAGCCAGACCTGCAAGTCCTAAAATCATCTAGGATCCTGAAAAACAACTTAACATAAATCACGAAACACTCCTACGTACAATTTAGCACAGCAGAATGAATACTGAACCCCAGATCACAAATCCTAATAACAAGCACATCTTCAGCACTGCCAAGCAATTACGCACCCAATTTTTCTTCCTCTTCCAAATTATCATTCTTGTCCTCTCGCCACAATCTTGTACTTGCCTGTCACTTGTTGCTGCAACAACATAAACACAAACGCAGACAGGAAAAATTTTGCGTTACCGTTGCTAAATGTCAGCAAACTAATTAGTAAATGTCAGTTATCATTTTACCTTCTCCCATAGCTCGGTGTGCTCTCTGCAGAAGCCGGCGACGATGGCGCAGCCCTTCCCTTCCTGGTACTCGATGCAGAGGCCGGCGCCGAGGCCGCACGAGACGTGGAAGCCGAGGCCGCACTTGGGCTGGGAGCACTCGAGGGCGCACCCTTTGTTGCCCTCGCAGATGTAGCAATCCTTGGCGAACCGGTGGGCGGGGACGCGGGAGCAGTCGATGCCATCGCGGCCGTCGGGGTCCCGGAAGAACACCTCCGGCACGAGCAGCGCGCACGAGATGTGCGCCCACTTCCCCTCCGTCGTGCGCTTCATCGCGCCGCCGCTGGCCGGGCAGAGGCAGCAGCTCCGCCGGCGCACCGCCGGCTTGCTCTTCTTGGCGATGCAGAGCGAGCAGAACCAGTCGCCGTCGGGGATGGCCTGCGCGAGCGGGTTACCGTAGCAGGACGCGTGTACCATGAGGTCGCACCCGTCGCAGAACACGATGGGGTCCGACGGGTCGCCGTCGGTGCTCGCGCACACGGCGCAACGCACGCCGTCATCGTCCTCCACGGGCTCTTGCTCTTGCTCTTGCGCCGCCACTTCATCAGCTCCATTCCTCGGCTCTTCTTTGGGTGATGCTCCCTTCTCATCAGGCGCTGCGTCGGATTTCTTGCGCACTTCAACCACAGCTTCAGACTGCTCGCCATCGACGGTCTTGCAGGGTTTCTCCAGACCTTTACCTTTACGCGGTGGAGACCTTGGTTTCATGGACACCTGCTCCTTGATTCCCTTTTGATTGATGGGCTTCTCAGGTTTCTTGAACTCTTCGCCTCTAGCGCGTTCTTCGGTGCCACTTGCCACTCTAGAATTGATGGCAACGCCGCCGCCGCCGCCGTGCTTACTGGATCCTTGAGGCCTGGCTTCTTTGGCGGCGACTACCCGAGCACCATCTGACTGCACGGATGGAGGCGGAACAAACGGCGGCATCACGCGCTTGTTGACCGGCAGGCATACCGGGGCAGAACGCGCGGCGTCCTCCCGACGAGCTGGCGAGTTGGCGCGCTTCTTAGCCGAGACGCAGGCCGAAGCGACCGTGTCCACCGGCGGCGCGGCGCAAGCGTGCCTGTTGGCTGGTAGGCACGCCGGAACAGAACCGGCGGCGTCGCCCCGAGGCGCGGGCGTGTGGACGCGCTTCTTGGCCGAGACGACCGCACCGGGCGGCACGGGCGGCGGAGCGCACGGGCGCTTCTTGGCCGGAACGCACGCCGGCACGGCCGCATCCGCCGGCGCCGCGCAGGCGCGCTTCTTGGCGGGGAGGCACGCGGGCGCCGCGTCCTCTGGCGGCGCCGCCAGGATGGCTCGTTTCTTCGCCGGGAGGCAGAACGGGGCGTCCGCCACCTCCACCCGCGGCGCCACGATGGCTCTCTTCTTCACCGGGAGGCAAACAGAGACGGCGGCCTCCTCCGGCGGCTGTGGCTGCGGCGGCGGCAACACGCGCTTCTTGGCCGGCAGCAGCACGCTGGGAGTCGATCCGAGGTGGGAGCCGACGTGCCTGAATCGCTTCGATGGCGGCAGGTCGCGGACGCTGCCGCTCGCAATGCCGTTCTTGGCGATCTCCATGGACGACCGGCGGCGGCGAGACGGATGAGCTCAAAGATTGGGGAATAAGCGAGAGGGGGAGGAGACTTTTCTGGGCGCGGGAATTCGCAGCGGAGGGAAGGACGGGGGTTTAAAGATCGCGCGAGCTCGAAAGATTTTCGGGGTTGGGTGTTGAACGGCCAGAACCAGAGGGGGAGAGCGCGGCGCGCGGCGGAGGAATCTGAGCAACATTTTGGCTCAGTGGGAAGTCGAAATCGGAAGGGGAGGCGATGGCGTCTCTCGATTTGGGTTTGAAATTTCAAACTGGGCGGAGACGCGGAGTGTTTCTGCCGCGGGGCATCGGTTTGCGGGGAAATTTTTTGTTTTCGTTTGGGAGGGGAAGAAGCATGTGGCGGCGCGGCGGCGAAGTGGCGCCAACCAGTGGCCCGCGCGCGCGCCAGATCGGGGAATTGCGAATCGAGCAAGAGCAGTTGATTGGGCCTGATTACTCCAAAAAAGAAGTCTTGGCCTTTTCTATGGGCCGGCAACCCACGAACAATAACGGGTGTTATAATGAACGTAGTTATTTATGATATGGAATTTCTAAAAAAAAAATAACTTATGATTGGAATCCAGGGACTCCTCTTTCGCAGATTTCTCTGTTCGTTCCCCTGTGGTTGTGGTTGAATTATTTTAGTCCACCATTCTTTGTTGTTTCTTACTCTGTGGTTCGTTGCTAGGTCTTGTAGAGCAGACCAAGGTTCCACCAGCCTCCAGAGTTGTTTCGAGTATGTACAGTTTGCCATGAGATGGGTATGGGACCCCTGCCAGCAATAACATTATTGGCAGCCTTCAGAATAGGAGCCAAGTGAAAAAAAAACTGACATTTTGTCTACATGTTTAGTTTCCTAATCTGGCCCGATCACAATCACCAAAGGAGCCAGTGAAACCGTGCATTGTATGCTGGCTTCGCCAAGCACATGCCGAGTGATCTCTAGTAGTGTTGGTTCCATAATTCAGTGAACTGGTGTAGTCCTCGCATCCAGAGCAAATGTTGCAGAATGAGACCATACTGCACGTGCTAGAGCCCCAGCCCCCGATGGGAGCGTGCTTACTCTATTGCGCCGTCTACATGTACCTACTCCTGCAATCAGCGGCGGGGGCACCTCGGACCTCGGTGCCGGCAGCACTCTCCTGAAGTCATGAGTCCTGACCGGCCCACCAACGGCCGATGACTGTCAGTGGCTGTGATTATCGCGCGGAGAATAATCATTATAAATCAGTTTTTTTAGTACTACATTAAAGGAAAAAAACAGATTCAACCAAAATAAAAATAAAATGGTTTCTTAGCCAAGCTGGAGGCTATACGTTAATACATGTCTGATGTGTATTTACACTTTTTTTTAGGCTGTATTTACACTTTTACAGGCAAATGAATATACAAGCTGGCAAGGGTCATGGCCATGAATTCTGAATGAATATGAATTGTTATTACAGCATCAACAAGTTACAGAAAACTGTTACTGCACGTTAAACTCCAGGATAGCTAGCTCCTGTTTGATTTTATCCCACTCGGTCTCACTCACCAGCATTAGCCGAGGCATAACGTTAACATTTTTACAAATTACAATCACTCTAGTTCACCTGCCTTTACCTCGAATTCTTCCCTGGTTGATAGTATCTTTACGCGAACCATGCCTCGCTCCCACTCAGAATTTCCAACCAATATCAGCCTGCTAGCATTGATCCTCTCCGCGTGCTTAAATACCCTAGTAGTAGCAAAACAGATATTTCAGGCACGGCGATAAAGCAAGGGGAAAAAATGGTAGGCATACCATTTGAGACGTTTGTCTTCTACAAGGTCAACAGATCGGCCTTTCTTCCTCAGAGACGAAGCAATACTGGATGCTGCTCCTTCAAGTTCTTCGTCCAAAGGGAAGACAATGTCATCAATTTGACGTGACATATCAGGCAAGAGACCCTTTTCTTTCAGCAGCTGTCAGAACACAAATCACAACCGAATCAATGCCACTCCATTGAAGCAGTACCACAAACTCAAAATGGTGTATTTTCAGCAGCTGTTGGAACACAAATTACACCCCAAATAAATGCCACTCCCTTGAAGCAGTATCACAAACTCAAAATGGTGTACAAACTGCAATAATACTTTTCAAGAAATTCATGTTATCAAGACGAGACTTTTATTTCTGTAGTCCACATTGCATGAATTAGCACGCACATAGCAGTTGTGATGGCTAGTGTCATGAATTGGTCATGTTTTAGGTATTAACAGATGTTGCCCTTATTTGCATTAAACATCAATCTAAAACTGAACTTATTCTTACACCAACCGGATTGCTTATAATTCTAAAAAAAGAACCAGGGATAAGATAAACACAGGACATACTTCCACTATAACAGCATCTCCAAATCCAAAACCACAAGCTGGTATATCTTCACTTCCAAATGTTGAAAGCAATCTATCGTACCTTCCACCACCACAAATTGCTCTCAGTTTTCCTTCTCTATCAAATGCCTACAAAAGTCGTACAAGAGTGTCAAAACAGGAGTTGGCATGAAAAAGGTAGTGTAGAATACATTTATTGGGAAAGGGAAAAATAAAGGAATGTCAGATCAACACAACATGTTAAAAAAAATCCAAATAAACTATCATAACGATATATGCTATCTAATCAGGCAAAAATATTAAATGGTAGATCAAGTTATAACCCACCATTCTGCATGGACTATACTGTAGTAGCTTAAGCACTCAGCCACTCACAATGATCCAAAGAACAGAAATCATGATATTTGACTTTAGAAAATGCCGCAGAAATATTTTTTTTCTCGAATACACAGGAGAGCTGCATATCATTATATTAAGAAGAAAAAAGGGGTAGGAACCTTACAAGTTACAAAGACACACACCCAAACCACCCAAATGCTACAGAAATATTATTTGTAAATAGAATAGAGATTATTGTTTGAAAATCAATTGTATCTTTTCAAATAAGCTTTCATTTGCAGTTAGATGACATGGCCCATTCTCTGCTTGTTAGTGGTCCTGCTATTGACATAAGAAAGAGATGAGCTGAAAACAACCTCAAATACAATTCCTGTGTAGTATGCAAGGCCACGGACCACTGATGCATCAAAACAAATCCAATCAGCATAACCATATTGCTCCGCAAAGGAGAAGAGTTTCTTCAAGTCAGCAACAGCTTCAACACCAGAGCCTAGCACCTCTGCATAAGTATATCAAGATTAAACAAGAACCTTTGCCAAAAGGTCCTGAAAATTAAAAAACAAACACTTATATGGATAAAGAAAGCCAAGATTGTCAGCTTAACAACAAATAAACCACAAAGGCCCAACATAAGAGAATACCTTTAATTAATATTCTTTTAGGTAATACATTTTCCAATTTAGCAACATTACCTCAGTATAATATTCAAGTAAAGGTATATCATATGGAGAATGCATAATAACAGGCCAACAACAAAAGGTTAAGAGAAAACCTTCAAGTTTGGACAATGACTTGAGCGAAAGCACATCGATGATACCGTGGACAGCTTCAGATGACAGACCAGTTGAAATAAGTTCCTTCTCGATTTCTTCCCTGGTCATTTTACCCAACTGCATAATGCTTATGTTAGAATGCAAGAAAGTCATTACACCGACAAAAGTCTAGCAATAAACAATTACATCAATGCATGGGTATTCAGCTTGTTACAAATAGTTAAGATATAAGATATGAAAAGCAAAACAGAGATAATCTGTTCCAGAGACTGGGCTTCTGTGGTAATTGATCACTGGTTACTTCAAATTCCCAAATTCCCAAATCCCAATAGAGGTAGAATGGTCCATGTCACCATCTAATGAGAGCAACATGTGCTCTTCGTAGCAAGTGCCAAACTCTTAAAAGGAAACCGGTTTTGGAGGGGTGCACTCTGGACTCTAGTAAGAGTTGAGGTGGTTTAAGTTTAACATTTGTTCCATTACCGAAAAAAAGTTAAACCTCTAGTGTATCAATGAAAATGTAACAATATGAAAAGATATACAAACTATCCTGTTTCTGTTTGCAGTTCAATGTTATAAATTACCACAACTTGTCAGCTCCCAAAGCTACAAATAGAGTATGATTGACAAGCAGATAACATGGTACTGTAACCCAGAGCTACAGAGTACAACTGGCAAGAAAATAATATGGTACAGCAATCAGCAATGAACAGATGGTAATTCAGTAGCAGAATTTGGGCATACTTTATCAACAATAACACAAACTTCAGTGAATAAATGTTCTGGGATGGAGTACATCGTCAACACAGCCTGAAGAACCTGCAAAAGGCAAATGACAGCCAGCAAGAAATCAGAGAAAACACATGCACTAACATGTATCATGACGTTATAATGTATTCAGGTGTCAGCAGCTACATCATTTTTAGGTAATCCAATTCCCAGAGTTCTTATTTCCTTATGAAATAGGTAATAAGGAATAGAAAGGACATCCACTACCATGAAGCAACATGATTATGTACCATACCAATTTGGTCATAGTAGTTTAAGATTGCGTGATTAAAAAGTACCAAAAAATCTTAACAATCTACTTTTGGAAGACATACGGCCAAGGCAAAAGCACCAAAAACATGAAAGCGAAATATTGAGCAAAATGTGAACTGAAGATGGATACTTGAGTGTTAAAGGTTACCTTCCGACTGGACACCCTGATCCCCACATCTGAAGATGTAATTCCAAGACGTTGAAATAAGAGAACAATAGCATGAAGAAGCTCAGCCTCAGCCTGATTCGAACAATGAGATGGCAGTGCCGCATCAGTTCAAAGGTATACGAGCAGTCGAGCACAGCAGCATCTGGAATCATCAATAAAGGAGAAGGGTGATACCCGAACTTTAGGCACACCAAATATATCCATATTCCATTGGTAATGTTCCCGCCTTCTTCCTCTAGTCATGCGCTCGTACCGCCAGCATTGTCCTATAGTAAACCATTTCAGTGGAAGGGAGACTGATTTTCTAGACAGA